ATGCAGCTTGGCTTAGAAGTGCTTAGTCTAATTTTTTGTAATTTTTTTCAGTGTGAAGGAAATCAGGTTGAAGGTTTCTGCCCATTGTATGTGCTATGTTCATTAACTCTATTTTGCATTCTCGTTCTGGTGATTACTCAACAAAATCCTGGCTGCTATTTCAAAACACTGAAGCCATTGCGATTGTCGCATGTGTTTCACCAAAACAATTAATGGGACAGTCTTCTCTGACCACACAGAAAACTTGTGATAAGACATATGTTGACACAGAACAGCGCCATGTCAGAAGAGCCATCACAACCAGATTAGAAAGCGTACATGCCAGTTTTAAGAGGGGGCAAAGATATTTTCATGCAAGACAAAGATATTTGCAAATCTCGTTTCTGGTTCAAGTTTGCAGTGCGGGGCCATCACAGCGATGAACGTGGCTGCTACGGCCACAGGGCTGCTTCGGCCTAATGACAGACGTCGACGTTGAAGTTGTCGAGAGGGCTCAAGCAAAGTGGGATCGCTTAGGTGTGAAATGGCAGAACGAATTTCTTTTAGTTCCAAGCGATCCTGGCCAAGGCTCGTGGCTGCAAGTGCAAGGCAAACCTTGGGGTGTGGGTTGCCAAGCTTGCCACGCAGCAGGGCACGCCACTAGCTTTGCCACATTCAATGTGAGAACGGAGGCAGGTCTCCAACGCAGCAATTTCAAGACCCATGCAGCCAACAAGCATCACCAAGCCGCTGTGGCACAAACGTTGGCTGGCAAAACAACCATCGTATCAGAGAGGCTCGCTCCTTCAGAAGCCGAGTTTGAAAATCTTCTCCAAAATATCCGAAAAGGACAGGCCACTTGCTGTGGCCGAAAGGGTGCCCAAATGACTTGGTGCATGGCAGAAGCCATGAAGTCATTGGACCAACAATTTTTCCAAGAAGCTGAGGCTATCTCATTGTTCAGAGATGAACGCAATGGCAGGGTAGCAGTTCGCTACCGAGCAGTGTCTGCCAATTTGGAAGTGCGTTCCGGATTTTTAGGGCAAGAGCGTTTTGCAGGGACAGGCGGCCGTAACTTGACAACGGCAACAGCAAACATTATGCAGCGAGCCTGCAGTCGTTTTGCAAACGCTCCTGGATCCAAGAGGGGCGGCTTCCTGAAACAAGACTTGTACGAGCATTTTCGGGCAAAAGTGACGACAATCACAACAGACAGCGCCGCAGATGAAGTTTTGGCTTCGGAACTCATGCGGTCGACTGTCACAGGGATTGAAAAGATTACGCCCAATCTTCGGTTTGTCTTACGGGACAAAGCCCATGCGTCTCGGCGGGTCACTAGCAGGCCTTGGCAATGCGACGACTTCTTGAAGGAGACGCTGACTCGCATGGCTGGGGGTAAAGGCTCCGTTGCAAGGCTGGTTCAGCACAGCCCTGAGATCAAGAGGATCTTTGTCGAGTACTGCAAAGAGACGGCGAGTGTGGCTGCTACGGTCACCAATTTTCGAGCCGCCCAGCACCGTTTCGAATCGTATTCGAAACCGCTTGGCAGAAGCTGTGCTTGCACCTGCACGCTTGTGTGAAGACCTGTTTGTATTTGATGCGTGCTCGAAATGACCAAGCGGCAACGCACGCCAAAGCTTGGCTGCTGTGGTTGTCAGATGAACACGCCATCCAGGCGGCTATGCTTGCGGACGCCGCAGACTGCAGTATGCAGCTGACAAGATCAATGGATGTGGAGGACTTGGACCCTGCGAGCATCAGTGCAGAACTTATCGTTTACCGCAAGCAAATTCGTGCTCTGTTTGTCGACGGCGAATGCTTCAACCGCTTCGGGTACACCAAGACGATGCTGGACATGCTTTCCGAGCCTTGTGTATACCAAGTTGGGCGCGCCACCTGTTGTATTGGCTCTGCCACGGGTGTGCCACAGCAAACCCAAATGTCATGCTTAAAGCGCATGCAAGCATGGGTCGCCTTGGCAGAAGCTACATTGGCAGCTGAATTCCCATGCTGGGAGCTGATGCAGGCTCGTTGACATGGCGATTTCCACTTTGAACATGTTAATCAACTGTGTTTTCGGGAGGGTTTTTAGCTGATTGCGGTTTCTCCTGCTAGGCTTTTGGTTGCTTCGATCTACGTGGCCGCCTCCCAAATACTGAGGAATGCCTCTCCAGAATTGCTCGGAGTTGCAGCCTGGACGAGAAGTTGCTCATAGCTCAATTTCAGGATGTCCACCCACGGGCTCAAATGGAGTTCAAGGAGACCTCCAGGAAGGCTGGAGACAACCAGGCCGCTTGGGCGGCGATAATTGCCAAGTTGTCTAGCCGGAAGAGAGCGCGCGACGCTCACCCTGTAGATGTGCTGCGCCAAGCCCTTGTTCACTACCTAGTTTTTGGTGGCTCCACCAGCGGAGTCGAGCAAGGCTTCAGCAAGGCAGCTTGGGCTGTACATAGCCGCCGGCATCAGGCAAAAGCGAGCACGGAAGATCTTGCTGTCAAAGTCACTCTGGACAATCGTTGTTACGATGAACGCGCGCTTCTACCGCTTGCTCGCAAGTGTTGGTCTGTCTGTTATGGCGCACCTCGCGTCCATGATGTCCACAGAATCGACAAAGGCGTGACAAAACTACTGCAGGACGAAGATGGCGCTCATGGCAAAAGCGAGGCTGCGTTTATCAGAAAACGGCGTAAAGCTGCTGCTTCGGCAGGCGCCAACCAGTCCTTAGATTCCGAGGTGAATACGCAAGAGTTAGACATTGTTTGGACGGAGAAACACGACGCCGAGAGGCTTTTTTTGCGAAAGAAAATGAAATGCCGAAGAGTTCAAGCCTTTGCAGAAAAGTCTTTGCTGGACGATGAAATTACGCCGGAGTTGCTAGCAGATCGTGAGGCTTGTGCGCAGAAGCTTGAAAAGAACGAAGCCGACCGAGTGACGAAAAAGTTGCGGACGCAAGCAAAAATGGGCTGCTGCTCAAGTGATGCTTTAGCTTTTCTGGGAGGCGGGTGTGTCTACATGGCTGTTACGGCTATGGCTGCTCCGGCCTTGGCTGACTTGCAGCTTGCCATCGCCCGACATGGCTTGCGAGTAACAACAGCGCCGAGAGATGCCGTTGCGATTGTTTGCGACCGACCAGGTCGCCTTGCAGATAAAAGGCTGCGGTTGCTTTCAGCGTTGCTGGGATGGTACGAGATGTCGCCCACATGTTTCACTGGCGATGGAAATGGCGCAGCTTTGAAGCTTAAATGCGCATGCGACTTGCAAAGGGTTTTGATAGTCTCCCATCGCTGCGCAACACGCAACGCGGCTTTTTGGAAATTTTTGAGGACTTCACTCAGATCCACACATCGATGGCTCATGCACTCGAAAGCGATGAATCAGTTGGGCATCGCGCAGGCAAGGTACCAGCGCGGAGTCGCCTATGTGGTGGTTGCTTCTGACGAGAAAGATGACCCGTCCTTGCAGGGACTGAAGCATACCTACTGCGTTGACGAACTGATCGAGCAACTTCGACACGTCGATTTACCACGGTGCGTCGGTGGCTTTTAAATTTGAAACATCACTGAATCTGGTGATGCGCATCGGCATTGGGTTTTACAGCTGCAAAGCGAGCTGAACGGGGTGGGTAAAATAGTGTTGGCGCAATGTGGGCAGCGATGCGCGTTCCTTAGCCGAGGACATGGCGTTTACGCGATGCGGTCGCGAAGTTGTAGTTTTCATGCTTGGCTCAAGCTAGGGTTATAGGAGTCAATTCCTCACGTGCTGCTTTCGGCCTTGGGCTGCTTCGGCCCAATGTCGGCGCGTACACCTAGGAAGTTGCTGTTCGGTAGTGATTTTTCTGGCTTAGACAGTGCGTGGATAGCTCTTCGGCGCTTGAAGGTGCCAGCCCAACTGCAATTCTGCAGTGATATCGACCCGGACTGCAAGAACCTTCTGCTTACTTTGCACAAGCCAGCCAGATTCCATGACAATGTGGCCACCCGCAGTCCTGACGATGAGGCGGCCTGCGATTGCTATGTTTTCACTCCTCCATGCCAATCCTTTTCTGTGCAAGGGAAACGCCGTGGCCTGAAAGATCCCCGCGCCGCGGCCATGAAGGGTTCCTTTCAATATATCAAGAGAAAACACCCGCGAGTAGTACTCTTCGAAAATGTGAAGGGAATTACCCACAAAGCTTTTCGTCCAGTTTTGAACGGAATGCGGGCTGCGCTGAAGAAACTGGGATATGTGGTTTGGATGAAAGTCTTGGACAGCTCCAACTTCCGAGTCGCACAGGTGCGGCGCCGATTGTTCGTGGTGGGCATTCTGCGCACTAGTTATCGTCGCAGATTCAAATGGCCTGCCGGGCAGGGGAAAAAAGCGTTTAGCTTGTGTCCTGGACCCTCTCAGCCCCACTGACAAAGCTGGCAGGCTTCCGAAGGGGGCCAGGCCTGCCAAGTTGGCTCGGATCGCATACTGCAAAGCATGGAAAGCAGGAGTTGACGCAAGGAAAGTTCCTGTTGCCGTAGACGTCGGCTGCTCAGAAAGTTACTTGACATATGGGATTGACGTAGCTCGCACGCTGTGTCGTGGACGCGCGCCTTCTGGAGGGTTTTGGATCAGCACGCGTGGCCGGCACCTCACCACAAATGAGATGATCCGTCTAAATGGAACTAGGATTGCTGAGCTGACAGGGTGGGAAGCAGCCGTCTCATCAGGAAGCCTGAGGAAAATGCTAGGAAACTCTGTCCCTGTGCCATTAATTGGAGAAGTCATGCAAATGGCGTTGTATTCGGCTGGCCTTCTCAGCAAGACACAACCCTTTCCCTGCGACTGAGGATGCGGCTGCTTCGGCCAGGCGTATGACAGCTGCTTCGGCTGCCGGTTGGAAGTACAGTGCCTGAAACTGACTGATTGGCTTGGGGTTTGCCAAAAGGGTGCTTTTCATGATGTGCGAGTCTAACTTGTCTTGTCTAATTCTTTCTATTGCAGCCATTTAGGGTTCTGTTCCTCTGATCTTGACCCGCTCCTATACCATGATGGAAGCGGCTTCTGCCAACCCGACGCCTGAAGAGCGATCCCGCGAAGATTTCCAAAGGCTAGTATATGGCACCCATGTAGTTTTGAAAGCAACCTTTGGAAAGGATTGGGAAGATGTTCTGGAGTGCGCACGCAATGCCATGATGTGGGCAAATGCTGCTGCTGACGGAGACGATGAAGTCATGATCACTGCTTTGGATGTTCTGACCACTCTTCGTTTCAGCCACAGTTGTCATTACCCAGTGACTCGTATCGCCTGTGGCTTGCCTGACAGGAGCGTCAACTTGAAGAGCAACTTGAAGGTGACAGAATTCACCAAACATGAGTTTCAGCAAGCCTTGACCCTTTTGCAGAGTCTCTCGCGCTTAGAAACTCCGACCTTCAAGTGGCGATGGCTTCAGTCTGGCTTTTTTGGCGACACAGCTGAAGCTGTTCTGTGCGACCGCTTTGCGTGTAGCCTTCCTCGTTAGTCTTAGACAAGTAGCGCCTTGCGAGGCTGCTTCGGCCGAGCAATCATCAAAGGTCTGCTTCGGCCTCCTATATAGGTCTTGGCTGCTCCGGCCACACCACTGATCGAAAGGGCTGCTTCGGCCCAGCGATTAGCTAGAATAGATAGAATCTTGACAGCTCCTTCCGCGCCTCGGAATAGCGGAAAAGGGATGCGTACGGAGAGGACGAATTGCCTACTCACACCGTAGCTTGGGGACGTCCCCGAAGTGTGTAAGGAGCAGCCGAAAAGAGGACGAAATGAAATTACGGTAAGCGGGTTGTTGATTCAAGGCTCTTGCCTACTTTTTGGCTGCTCGCACGGCACTTTGGGGACGTCCCCGAAGTGTGTAAGGAGAGGGCGACTTGACTACTCCTTACACAACTATGTGACCAATTGACTGTAGGCATTGATTTGCTTACGATAATTTTCCTCCATCAGACTAAGTACAATACTTCAATAACCTACAAGATAATACAAGATAGATGTAATGGAAGTGAGGAGTAACATCGATCTCAGATCTCTATATATTTTATATAGTCAGTTACATATACCATAAAACGTTGCTAAATTCACATAGAGAGAGTGGCCACGGGACCTTGCACTGTCTCTGCAAAATCGAGTCTTGACTCTGTGATAACTCAATGGCCCGCAGCTGTTAAAGTTCAGTCGACGGCTTGGAACTGCGGTTACTGGCTGCTTCGGCCAGCGTGGCTGCTTCGGCCACCCATGGTCATGATCTTGGATTGCGGCGGAGTGCTTTCCAGCACTGATTCCAAGGTCAAACAAGATGGACTGACGATTTGGAAGGCGGCGCAGCCAGGGGCATGGGCTTTTCTGCGGTGCTTCTGGGCCAAATATGGTCGGGACAAATTGCACGTGATTTCACGTGTCAACGCCCCCAACAATGCACAGCACTGGGTGATTCGCTTTTGCCAAGCAATGCAGATGGACACTGAGAATGTGCACTTGGTCCGACATGCAGCCGACAAAGGTGAAGTCTCAAAGAACCTCCGCGCCACCAACGCTGTTGAAGACAGCACCCTATGTCTCTACCACATGACCTTCGCCAACCACGTGAATTGGAAGTACGGGATTTTGTTCGACAAGCACTGGAGAAGCACCAATAAGCCATATGACGGTTGGTGCAAAGCCAAAACAGTGCTCAACCCGAACAAAGCCTGGGACGAAATTGCGAAAGGGACGAATTGTTGGCCAGGCCCAAAAATTTGGGATACCCAGGTGAAAAATGGGCCACCCTACGCTGAGGCCAGTGACGCAGTAGCTGACGGGGCGCTGCGGCAACACTATTTTGATGGAGATTCTGACGGCAATACTTATAGCTATGACTATGAGTACACAGATGACGAGGGCTCTGATGCGCCGGCTGCTTCTGCCGACCAAGGACCTATGGCTGATTCGGCCAACACGTCAAAGGATGTGGAGCCCGATCAAGAAACGGCTGCTTCGGCCGGACACACTACAGCTGCTGCGGCTGGCCAAACTGAAGATCAGGCTGCGGGTGAAACTCCGCCCACAGCCGAACAGAGCCCACGTCTCCAGTCTCCGCCTGCGCCAGAAAGTGAACCTCCGGTTTTACACCAACATGTTCATGCCAAGGGCAAGCCGGAGCCTTCCAGACTAACCTTGACTCCAGGTCCGGGCGCCCGTATGACACAGGATGACGAGGGCCCTGTGGATCGGGAGGACTTCAATGACGTTGTCTCAGCTGTTCGAGACCTCACTGGGGAGGCGCGCACCTTGGCAGAAAAACTCCGGGAACAACAACGCAGTGGACATCGTTCTGCCGACTCAGGCTGGCGGTCTCGAAAGAGGCAACGGGCTGCTGATTATCGTGCTTCAGGAGGTCGGGCGCCGCGACCTGCAACAGAGATGAGCCTTCCCATGTGCGTTCATTGCAAACGCAACCAAGGGGGTGTTTCCTGCTCATCTCAAATGTGCAGGCTGTGCTGCCAATCGGATGCTTGTCAGCAGCATGGACGCCGCTGACTAACATGTCGGAGCATAGCGACTTTGGCCACAGCGTGGCTGCTTCGGCCATGGACAATAATTGGCTGTTTCGGCCATGAATGTGACAACGCAGCGTCGCCGAAAATGATTGGGGAAGGCTGGGCCTATATCTGCGGGTTAGTTGGGAAATTGAACTGATTATGACTTGCCCTGGGCGGAGTGCCTTGGAGTCGTCTGAATGTTGCCCCCGCGCATGTTAGAGGTCAAGAGGCATCAGACCCCAAACACTTTAACGGTTACTGTTGACTTGCGCGCCTTCAAATTCCTTGGAGCAGCTTACCGATCCAGCAGCAAAGATAATAAATTACATATACGCAATATATACGTTATATACCATAAACTGAGATCGATATTACTCCTCACCCATGGTCGTATTGTGTATTCGCGTACTCGCATAACCAGAAATAGAACAACTACCACTGATTCAATTTTTCATAGTTTCGTCAGTTTTTGGCTCAAGAACGAGATTTGCGCGCAGCACCTAGTACAAGTAAGGGCCAGGACCAATTGTGGCTGCTGCGGCCACATGGCTCCGAAAAAAAAACAGAAGGTCGAACCAATGGCTGCTCCGGCCAGCAGCCAAGATGGGGCAGTGGGTACTGAGCAACTCATGAAGATTCACGAAGCAATCAAATGCATCCGCGACCACCCACTCTTCAAAGATATTGATACAGCAAAGCCATTGACTGTCAGCCAAGGAGGACAGCAAGTTCCTTTTGAGTTGGAATCTTTGAAGAAAGCCATTGGCAGCGATGCCGGTTGCTACCGTTGCGGCTGCAATATTTGGTGGTCTGACCTCATTTGGATGGCCAACCACAGGGTTCCTGTGAATGTGGGGCAGGTCAAAGCCATCCAAAAAACAGAATTTTCCAGCCCACCGTCCACATTTCCTTTCACGGTCACTGTGGCAGTAGACAAAGAAGCCTTGGCCTCCAAGCCTGAAGGTGGATGGCAGCGGTTGTCTCCAGCTGAGCCAGTTCACGCACTCCTGCTGTCGATTCAGCATGATATTCAAAGCAATGTGGGGGAACAAAGGTTGAAAGAATGGCGACGCGTTTGCCTGACGGTCTCGTTCACCTTTGAAGCAGTGACAGCTGGTGAAGCTCGTTTTTGGCGCGCGCAGAATCTCCGAGAACAAGCAGTAAACCATGGCTTGGTGGTTCGCATGAGCCTCCGACAGCGCATTTATGATGTGGCTGGGTTCAAGATGTCCAAAGAGAAAGCATCCGGACACGAGTTTGGGGCTGAAAAGGTGGCGCAGGCTTACACTCAGCAGTTGAAACTTGCGGTGGACGCCGAACCAATCAGCAAATCGTTTGTCGAGGACGCGTGCCACATTCACAGGCGCTTGCTCAGTCTGGAGCCTTGCCAACAGATTCTTGAGTGGGCAGACAGGGAGCTTTTGCACAACAATCCTTGGAAGAGCATTTACGCTCTCAAGGCGTTGCTGGACCGAGCTTCCACCAGTGACAACATCATTTGGTGCATGCTGGGCATGATGGATGGCTTCCGCATGAACATCGTGGACCTGTCCCACTTTGCGGTGCAGAAAGTCAAGGACAGCCGCCAAAGCATCTCGGCTTGCATTTAGTTCCTTTCAGCATATCTACCATTGTTTTTAATAAACAACTGGTTGCGATTCTCAGGTTACGTCGAGGTCTTGAAATTGAAGAAGAAGGTCAAAGAACACCTGCTGCAAGAATGGCTTCAGGGCTTGGACATCGAGGCGAAGTGGAAAAACGGTTTGCGAGACACCTTTTCGTCCTTTGAGTCTGTGCGGAAGAAGTACGCTCCCTACCCTGGAAGTGCTGCGCCAGACTCTGCTTGGATGGTGGGGTGCCCGGAGAGTGTGAATCAAGTGACTGACATCATTGAGCAGTTGGTGTACAATCAAGCTTTTGACAACCGCTACAGAGACGCAGTAAAGGCAAAGCACGAGCTTGAAGATTTCTTGGGCTATCCGACCGTGGCCAAATTGCTTCAAGATGCGGAGGCACAGGTGCGCTCCGAAAAGAAGCCCGCCGCAGAGTCCAACACTTCGGTGGAAGCTGCTCCGGCTCCTTCTGCTGGGTCGGCTGCTTCGGCCGCAGCAGCTACTGCTGTTTCTGATTCTTCAGCCACAGGAACTGCTGCTCCCACTTCGGCTGCTTCGGCCCACGACACTTTGAACGACGAGGACCAGCAGCAATGGCGCCAGCACATGCTCAAGACGATCCGGGCACACATCCGTCTCATCCCAGAAGGCAAATCACAAGCTGAATTGGAACAGGCTTTGAAAGACACTGGCTATGCCACTTTGAAAGGTGATCCTACCGGTCAAGTGCTTTTGCATTTTGACATCAAGAAATTTGGTGAGCCATTGACACGGCCTGACTTTCGAATTCCAACTTTGAGGGACCAGCCGTACTGCAAGCTGGTGCGAAGTGTTTTGAACGCTAGATCTGGAGGGGATGGGCCCGGTGCCCTCCAACCGGGTGAGATCGGTTTGATTTTGGATGGAGGCAAGCAGGGAAACAAAAACAAGCTTCTAGCACCTTGGAAGGAAGGCACAAGCAGAGAAGGGAACAAGAAAGGAGCAGCAGCTGAAGATGAAGAGGAGGAAGGACAGCAGGACGAGGATGACGACGAAGGAGACAAACCCAACTTGGTATGGGATAGCCTTCTGATTGCCTACACTGAAGACAGCCTTGCCTCCAGGAAGCAGCGCGTCAGAGGCACGGGAACCTTGAAACAAGTTGAAACTTGCTTGGTCCTCAGCAGCAAGAAATTGACTTTGCCTGTGCGAACCCGGAAGCATTTTCAGGGCAGCAGCAATGGCGACCTGCTGCTTGGAGTAGCGTGGCCCGAGTTGGCGGAAGAATGGCACGTCAAATGGCAGGAGAAAAAGGAGATGCTCGGCAAAAAGCATTTGGTGCCAGTGGGCGGCAAGACAGCCGACGATGCTGGCGATCGCACGTCCAACCGTGCAGCAAATGAGCTCGAACCCATGTGCTACCATTCGTTGCCACTTGCATTTTACGAAGAAATTTTGCATGGCTATTACGCGAAAATGGTGGTAGACATGACACCAAGTGATGCCAGATTCGCTTGGGCATGCCTGCGCACGCGCACAGGCTACGTTGGAATCTGCTTCACCGAGGCGCATGTGCGTGGCTTGGAGAACCGCTTGCTCGAGCTGTTGAAAGAGGACATGGTCGACCCGAACTCTCCTTTGTTCTCGGCCGCCTACTCTGAAGCAGTTGGCTTGAAGAAAACCCCGTCTCAGGGCTCTGGCGGTCCTGACCCCAAGGCCAAGCCGCAGGCCAAACCAAAGGGGAGAGGCAGAGGCAGGGGAGGCCCCAAGCCCAAGCCGAAGACAAAGCCAAAGGCCAAGCCCAAGTCAGCGCCAACCGCTCCTGATGATGGTGAAGATGGCCAAGAAGAACCAGAAGAGGACGAGGACCCCGCTGCAGATGACGACCAAGTGTGGGACCCGCTGGAGTGATGGCTGCTTCGGCCACTTGATCAGGCTGCTTCGGCCTTCATGAAGCGCGCAGCGCAGTCCTCAGCGGCTGCTTCGGCCATTGGAGCTGCAGTTTTGGAAGAAAAACCTTCGACCTGTCGCATGGGCTGGGCGGGAAAAATGAGCTGATTGGGAGTGATGCGGTTGCCGGATGTAAGAAAGATATTTCCCATTCTCGTTCTTCAACATGATGGTTCTCGTTCCCAAGGGGTGTTGACAGGGTCACACCCCAGAAACTGCTGAGTACTGGCTACACTCGGATAAAAAGAACAGTGTCATTCCGAGTCATTCCATCTCAGGTATAAAAGCCAGTCTTGGCGGCAAGACTTTCACATTATATCTGTCTACTTCGAGTATAGCTTCTTACTGGGCAGCAATCCCACATGATAGATATTTCATTGCGGGGCCACGGACACTTCACTACCCTTGAGTTATTTTGTCTTCTCGTTTTTCAACGTGTTTGCTTGAGCACCGTTCGTGATATACCGGCAACCCACAAACAACAAAAAAATTACAAAAATTAGACTAAGCACTTCTAAGATTGTCGCCAAGCAAAGTCAAGTACGATTTGAGCTGTTCTCAAAAGACTAGCAGATTTCAACTCTTCTTGAATTGTCGCCCCTGCCTTGACCGTCTCATCAAAGACTTCTTCAAGCTTCAGAAGTTGAGGTTGTAGTGCACTGTTCATTGAACATGCTGGCCATGTAGGTTTCAAAGCTGTGTTCAAACTCCTCCAGGCATCAAATCCATTGGAGTCCTCCACAGCTTTAACCAATTGCAGTGCTCTTCCCCTCATCAATGAAGCTAACAATCCATAGAGCTTGATGCACCTAGTCTTCTCCTCTGTACTGCCAACTCCATGTCAAACTTCTCATTTGGCTTTTCGTGATTTTTTTCAAGTCCTTCATGTAAGCCTCATCAACTGAGCTCAAACATTTCAATTACCTATGAGCACTCTCTAAATGCCTTGATCTCTTCTTCTTGTGACTTACAGTCAAGGATATTTGCCGTCGCTATCGATTTTGACTAATCAACTTCTTGTCCTCAACTGCTTTCCTCACTGCCTCAGCCACTGATGTAGTTGCTTGCGCACTCTGCGCTATAACTGTTAGGATTTCTCTGATCCCCTCCATCTTCCACTATAGAGTGTCATTCTGACACAACGTACGGGGTACAGAGCGTCGCTCGCAACAATTTATCACCAGTCCAGCTGTTTGGGTTCCAAAGGCCCCAAACCTATGGCGGGAAATCGCGCTCAGGGTGACCTAGGGGCGTTTTCTCTGGAGCTCAAAGACCCTTATCCCGGCTCCGCTACCATGCGAACCTTGTCTTGAATCCAAAAGGGGCTGCGCAGTGGTCATCTATAAAAAGATGTGCTATACACACTGGTGATGGTCTGCATCGAAACTTGTTCAATCTAATTTTTTGACTGTCTGATTCTAATTTAAATCCTGGACTTATGAGAAATGGTGCCCTCAAGTACATACACAATATTGAATGTGTTAGTTGATTTTCTTCACCACAACTGTGTGGAACCCCGCTGTAATCAACACATCAAATACGAGAAGATGCTGATTGTTAGCTTGCAAGTTCGCTGAAGACCGTGAAACTTTTGCCCCAGGTGATGTCAGCTTCGACCAAGCAGAGTGATTGAAACACTCTGCAATACTCCGTCACCAACCTCATGCCATCTGTAGCGGCAAATCACAACCCCAAACAGGTTCAAGCAATGGGTGAGGACTGAAGGTCAAGGACATTCAAGGACCCTTCCGTGATTGCATAAAAGTTTACACTTGAAAGGCCCACTTCCCAAAATCACCTGCGACCCTTCCCACCCAATCTCCAACCAAAGCTATACGTCAAACATCCGTCCAAGGCATGAGACTTCCCAGTCAGAGCGGAGTCGCGCTGTCCACGATTGCGTTACATGGCCAAGCAACACGAAGCCAGATTGCCTAACGGGCGACCTGGAAGCCATTCGGCAGTGCCATGCCTTGGTGATGATCAAGTCTGGGACATAGTCACGAGTGGCTTCATGGGCACCAACACTCTGGGCAAACCAATCGATCACAAACTATCTCAAAGAAGACTGTTTGTGGACTCTCTTTTTGAAAGACTTGCCCGATGTATTCCTCCAAGAGCACTGCCCCTTCAATGAGATGGGAGAGAAACTGCAAACTCTGAAGGTTCGTCCCGTGATCTGCTTCATGTATATAGGTCGTTGTTGATTAGCATGTTGTCCGTTCATCGCCACGCATGGCCCTTCCATGCACACCCCCCATACGTCCTTGCACATCTCCTGCCAATTTGAGGTTCCCGGCATGCCGAAGTGGACTACAACGTCGGCTTTCAGGTCCTCCACGAAATACTACTGTACAGTCCGCACATATGACCGCGCAAGACGCAGCGCTACGGCTGGATGAGAACTGAGCGAGACGCGAACATGTTTTTGTCTGCTGCTCCAGCTTGGTTGCTCATGGCCTAGGCTCGCGGAATTTAATCAGCCCAAGCTGAGCCCCATGACAACAGCCAAGCACTACCAGCAGCGACATCTTACGAAACCTTCCCCGCAGCTAATTCTGATTTACTCTTGCTTCTGGGCATGACATTGTCTGTCGCCTGTAGGAAAGTAAATCTACTAGGTCCCAGGAACTGCTCTACCGCGCAATGGATCTTACGGTAATGTGTTCTTTTCCAGAATCAAGTCTAACTCGAAGCCGCCATGTTGTTTAGCGGTTATAGTCTGCTGGAGTGACCAATGGATTTTGGGGCATGCAAGGTTGCGGCCCGAGGTTGCTGGGTTTTGCGCAATTGTCTATTCTGAAGCAATGGAGGGATCCCTTTGGTCCAGCGGGCTTTAGCCAGTTGTTGCCCTGGGACTCTCCAATCTGTACCTTGTAGGACGTTAGGTGAAAGTTCATATCTCAACTGTTTCAGCAAAAGTTCCGGTCGGCTGGAGAGTGAACTTCTAATGAAATCACGCACAAAAGACGATTGGGGAACTTGTGGTGGAAGGTGGAACTGCAATGTGACAAAATGTGTGGCGTCACATTGGTGATGTGAATGTGAAGTGTATTGTGATAAAGGGGAAGTGTACGTAACTTGATGGTGATGCGATGTCTGGTCTGGCGTTGGCATCACATTCCGGGCTGGAAGTTTTAAGTCACCCGGGTGAGTGTGTAGACAGAGGGGGAGAGGAGCAAGGTTTGACCCCCAAGGTGACCTCAAACATCCTCAAACTGAGACTGAGATAAACAAGTTTCATGGTTTGACTCCTACAAATGGTCGAACTGAAGCTCCAAAATCGTGCCCCACAAGCTCCAAAAAGGAACCGGACCATCAAGTCCTTGTTGGAGCGCACATCTGTGTCAGTAATGTAGACTGTTTTTAAGATTGTTGATTAATAAAACACCCGCAACATTGTAAAACCATTCTAGTAGGGGGTGATTCATCAACAGTCTGCAATAATTACTTCCAAAAAGAAACCGTTGTGAGGAGGTGTCAGCCAATCACGGCATGCCGCAACATGGGGTTTCTTGGGGCAGTCATACTGCCCATGCGTCCGATGAAGTCCCATGCTTCGGTCGCCGTCGTGTCGTCCAGACAAACCGGAGGTGTGAATCGCTTTTCCAGTTGCGAAGCAAAGATGCGAAGCTGAAACCGATACACATCAATGCTCTCACTGATGACTACTGATGGGACCACTGGCCAAAACAACAACCTGCATGAAATGGCTCGCGGCAGAAACGTCTGCCCTCCCTCTGCCCTTCCCGTCATTCTCGATGTACTTGTAGAAGGCCACATACTGTGGATGCGGCGTCATGTCGCGCTCGAACCTCCGTTCCGGACCGGTCGGAGCGATTTCGTGCGATTTCGGGAACCAGTTTGACTGGTCCAGGCTGCTCCTTTTGATGTTGCCCTGTTGTTAAGACATGTTAAGATGGGTACTACGGTATGTCATTTCATGTCATGTATGGTCAGCTTTAAAGGAAACAACTGAACTTCAGAACACTCTCATTGACCCTTGGCCACTTGAATATTTATTTAGTCCGCGCCATCCCCTCCCAATCGAGCCGCTCCATCCGAAACGCGATCCCCTTCCACCCAGGCACAGCAAGCGCATGGGATCGCCGGGGACACCCAAGGGAGGCTGCACCGCCAGCCAAACCTCGTCAGATTGGTGAACAAATGGAGACGTATTGCATCAGGTAGAACGGACGGAGAGTGTAGACCAAATCGTTTCCCTTCCTTGCTCATTCAATAGTGGTTTCTGTCCAAGAACATGCTTGTTGGGGCGGAGGTTTTGTTTGTACCCGGTTGCCGCCGCCGCCGTCGTGGTGGTTGTTGTTGTTGGTAGAAACAAAAACAGCCGCCCAACACAATTGTCACATGTTGTAACTTTGGAACTTCAAGGGGACAAGGTTAGGGATACGGTTGAAGGTTTGGCGAATGTTGGCTTCGAA